ATGTCTGCACCATCGATGTTCCCACGCCGACACTCCTCCAGCATCCAGTCTAGAATACATAAGAGGCAGAAAGCAAGCCCAGGGAACTCCCCTGTGCCGTTCTTTGGACCCTGAGATCCCTAGCCAGTCTGCATCTTCTTTCCACCTTCCAGTCTTTTGTGTGGTTTTATACATAACATCCGGGATTTTTGTTGGGCCCAGCAAGAGGAATAGAGAAAAATACATCGACTCTATCTTCCCAGAATCAGAAGTCTTGATTCCAAAATTGTGATCCGACCAACTTACTGAAGAGGCTGAATCAGAAAGCAAGCTTTATTTTTCTTACATGGCCACCCCGCAAGCACTCTCTGTCAGACCCCTCTGTGTGCACTGGGTGATGTCATAGGCAGATCGTTGTGCTTCTCAGATCGGTTTTATGTGTGAACATTCCTCATTTTCGGGGATTAAATCCAAACTAAACTGCAATTTCAACTTCTTATCCACTTCAAAGGATTCTTTTTCTTTCTACCCCATCAGGCCTGACCCCAGCTTGGCAACCTGCGTAGAGCATGGCTTGGCCTTCCCTTCTGCTTTGCTCCATCTCTGCTCTAGCTCTCTGTCTATTGCTTCTTTCCCCCCATAGTTGGGCCCAGGAGAGGGGAAAATTAAAGGAAAAGAGCAAAGTGTTACGTTATGGGCTGGAGCTGCTGGAATCATGTGTGAATGATTGACATGCCTGGCAGGTGCCCAGTGCTGGCACTTTCTCTCTGTTGTGGGTTCTCCTTTGGTAGGGTCCACAGACACTGCAAACGTTTTCTGACATAGATCATGCAGTCTCTGGCCGACAGACTCTATCTCCTGGCAAGCCGCGGAGTGGTTTTTGCTGGGGTTAATCAGCCCCAGCTGAGCAGACATCTGGGTGGGGCTGTCTCAAGACAGTCTGAGAGCAACTGCCTTCCACCGTGTCTGTGCTAGGCCTGGAAGGAAGCACCTTTGCTCCGTCACTGCAGAAAGAGCTGCTTGCCCGGCATCAACACCTTGACCAATTTGTACTCTCATAAACAGCACTGGTTGCCTTCTCTCTTTTAGAATTTTCCAGAGGAGATTCAGGTTCTGGTGTTTTTGCTTTCCAAATTCCAGAGGCCACAGTCAGGCTTTCCGAAGAAGTCTCCTAACCGGCTCTGCTGTGGTCTCCCAGCAGTACTGGGGCAGCAGTCTCCTTATTAGCTTGAAGAAAGGGCAAGAAAGCACTTTTCCCCAACCCTCCTGAGGAGGTGACAGGAAACACAAGACACTGACAAGGCACTCCTCAGCATCCTTGATGGAGCCCCAGCCTTTTTTTGTATATGGGCTGGAGGTGGATGAGGGGACAAGAGCCATAGAACTGGGGTTGAGCTACTTCTTAGCAAATCCTACATGGATGGTCCAGCAGCTTCTTCAGAGAGTAGAGTTATTAGTCACCTTGGGGTGCTCAGGTGTAACTCTGAAAAAACAGGTAAAATCTGATTTAATATTCTGTGGAAGTAAGAATGAAACATCATGCTTCAAATGATGCCCAACCAAGATCTATGGAGTAGTGGATTTGAGAGCCCACCCCCCTCCCCCCAGTCACATTTATCTTCATGTACGGTGTGAGTTTTAAGCTGACCCGTGGCCCACCGAGACGCTAAGACATGGCCTCGTTGTAACGCAAACGCATGCGCCGTGTGGAGTAGCACATTTAGCACCGGCTAAATGCGACTAGAGCACGTGGGACAGCAAACGGCACCCCATGTGCAGGACAGCAGGAAAGGGGCCACAGCAGAGATGACCTGGCTGGGGCCTTTCTGAGCGGCAGAAGTTGTGTAGGTCCGTAGGGCAGAAAAACGGAGCCTCTTAGAGTAGTGGGCTGTACAGCCTAAAACCATTAGCTGTCCCAAGCTACAGCAAGTCTTCCGAGGGGTGCCGTGACAGGCTCTTGTTCCTGTATGTCACTTCTTCTAACACATTTCACGGCATCATCCTCAAAATAAAGGACAAGGAATTTGGCTAACACTCCCTGTCTGATCGTGGCAGTCCACGGTTCTGGTCACCAGAGTCTCCAAGAGTGATGCACAGGGACCGCCAGTCCTCAGGGTCTGCATGAGCAAAATGCACGCGGCCCCGAGATACAGGGGGCTCACGTGGTGGCTTAGGATCTCACGGTGCAAGAGAGGGAGAGAGAATAGGCTCCGGCGCCAGCGCCTGGCGTTGCCATTCATCCCCGTGCTAGGAGCAGAGCTCCATCCCGAGAGAAGACGGGCGCCAGAAACCCTCCCTTCCTCTCAGTGGCCACTGGAAGACCTCAAGCCAAAGGAAGAAGATGCCTAGGGCTTTAGAGTGTTGTTTTTTTCAACTGGGAAATCAATTTCCTCTGGTCAATCATTTTTTAGTATTTGACATCTGAAAGGAGGTATCTCACGCTGCCTGCTTGGAGGGCGCCCCACTGGGAAATCACAGAGCTGAGCTGATTTATGGCTGGGCCGCAGGCCTCACCGCAGCACCAGCACCAAGGGGAGGAAGCGCGGCAGCCCAGCCCGAGGCAGGCAGGCATTCCAGCCTGTGCACGAACACCGCTGTGGCTGGAATGCCGCCGCTCACCCGATGTGCATGGACTGCCGGCCCAGGCGGAAACCTCTGACAGTGCTTTCCTGTGAGAGACCTGGGCTCTGGGGAGGCCCCGCTTCCTGCCGTGTCACCGTGATGTGACCACGAGGGTGGGAACGGAGCCCAGGAAAACTTCCTTCTGGACTGGGTCGACCCTTGTGCAGAATACTGGCTCATGCCGGGTGCTTTTCCCTGAGCTATCAGGGCCTCTGTCACCCCGTCCAGAGTGGCCCCTCTGGCTGCTGCCCTGCCAGGATCTATCTTACGGCACTCTTGGGACCCTAGGGTTAAGAGCCGACCAGATTTAGAAATTTGGATGACTCAGGTACATGGGAATTTGAAGGTCTCTCATGCTATCAACAAAGCAAACAAATAAAAAAATGAATAAAATCTCAATTAGAATACAAAAATGTCAATGGGATGTTTTGGGGCAATAAAATCGTTGGTTTTTCCTCTATTTACTTTGCTGTATTTTCCAGGATTTATATTACTTTTATATTGGAAAAATAAGCTTTTATTAAGGAAAAATGATCAAAATAATATCTAGTTGATTCAATTTAATGTTGCTAATTAAGGGACTCCTATAAATATTATTAGTAAAGCCTTACAACTTATCAGGCCAGGAGGTGGTTGACAGTGAGGACCTTCTATTTCTCTGGGCCAGCACCCCCAGATACTGCCTGCTTACCAAGACCTTAGTTGTCACCAGGCCACACAATCTCTACATTTCCTCACAAAGAATCATCTAGCTTTCTCATCATCACCCCAGAGTCAAGACAGGCCAGCTGGTATAAGGCCTGCTTTGCAATCTTGTAAGAAAATTACATGATGTCCGCTTGTTAAGAAGGAACAATGACATAATGATGACAGCCATTTACTGTGCTTGGCCTCAGTTGCTCTATATGGATTTTTCATCCTTACAACAAAGATTAGCAGGAGGTGGTCTAGGGTAGGGGTTACTCACACCAGCTCAGAGGTCAGAATGCTGGGCATGGATCATGACTTGGTCATTTTTGAACTGTTACTGAACTGAACTTTAGTAACCTCTTTAGCCTCAGTTTTATCATCTGTAAGATGATGAAAATAATACTACCTAGCTGATAAAATTTTCATGAGAATTAAATGAAATGCCTCTGGCAAAACACATAGCATGATACCTGGCTTAAAGTAAAAACTTCATCTATGCTAATTATTATCTTCATATTATGGAGTAAGGCAGGAGTGAGGGAGTGCAATGAAATGGATGTAATATGGTTTCTGCCTTTGTGGAAATTATTTGAATTATAAGTAGATAGGGCTCTAGCTAATTAATTAATGCCTATTATCTCCAAGTTTCCAGACCAAGCCACAACTGAATGGTCTCCTTTTGCTCAGCCATTGTGATTGGGAGCTTTGAAGGGAGGGCGTTGGAGGACCCCACTAGCCAGTGAGCTAGAGGACATCTGACAGTCTGCCCACAACTGTATATGCTACATAGTCACAAGACCGGCAGGCTGTGTCAACTCCGATCCCAGAAGTCATCAGTGTGTACCCCAAAGAATGCCTAAAGTTTTCAGGAAAGACAACAGCCTAATGGGGATATCGCTTCAAGAAAATCCAAATCTCAGAAAGTTCCAGTGAATGCCTTTATTGTTGTTTTTATTGTGGTTTGTACAGTTAAATCCCGAAAAATCAGAGTCTCCAAATCTGAAGTCAGAGGAGAGAGAGGATAAGGAAGACGGGAAAGAACCGAACAGCACCTGGAGCATTTCCCACATGATTTCAGGATCCAGGTTGCTAGGTGTCCACATAAAGTACCTTCACCAGGATAAGACGGAAATTGAATACAATTTGCTTGAGACTTTTGTCAGCTGTTTGTCAAAGGTAGTGCCTTATGGAAAGAAAACAGAGACGAAGACAGCCCTGTTTGTATTTTTTACCCAGAAGTCCCCCGAAACAAAAATATTTGGACAATCATGGTCTATAGACTTGTTCTTACAACTGAGTCATGAGTCTACTCGACCTAAGGGAAGTACCTCTAGGCCACTGAGATGTCTGAATTGTTCTTTTCACAAACAGAGAGGAGGAATTATTTTGGCTTAGTTGGTTCAGTGAACTACTCAAAGGGCTCTGTCTCTGTGTCTCTTCTCACTCTCTACATTCTTCCTAGGTGCTGTCATTCGCTCCCTTGGCTTTACCTGTCACGTAGGATATGTTTTGAAAAACGTACATTCCATAGTCAAAGAAAACCTTCTGTATAACCCACCAAAATATCTCCCCTGATCTCCCCAATCCCATTGGATCAGTGAGGAATTCTTTTAGTTGAAAGAAACAAGAACAAGAAAATTCAATTTACAATTTTATGGGAGAGAATGCTAGTTGTTTACCAAAATCCATCCTTCCATGGAAACTGGAATATGGAAGGGTTACCCTACATCTCCTAGGTTGCCTCGCAGTGAGATGTGGCCAGTGCTCTCCAAGGGAATGTGAGTGGAAGTGATATGTTTAGCCCATTAAATCTCCCCAAAGAACATCTCTATCCTCTTCCCCCTTCTGACAAATTGTGATCCCAGGCCCAGAGTGACCTTGGAAGCCATGTGTTGAGAAGAGCAGAGCCCCCATTGGCTTGTGTCTCTGAGACTTCCTCCACCACTGGGACCTGTGACATCCAGCCTCAACCACTCAAGAACAAGAAGTAAGTGTGTTGTGTCTGAGCCCTTACTTTTGGAGGCTACTTATTACCCTGATGTATCCTATCCGAAACAAAACCAATGCCTTATCACAGAACATTTTTATCTTACTTAACAGGAAGTTCAGCAGTAGTAAATGCTAGCATTTATTCAGATGCTGAAAGATGCCATCAGGGACCAGGCTGTCACATTCTGCTCCACCATCCCTAGCATACTGGCTTTGTTCTCATGCTCTTGACTTACGGTCACAAGTAGGCGGCTGTGAGGAGAAATGTTGGATATGGAAGTTATGTCCACCTTCCAGGCAAAAGGAAGGAGAAATGAGCAAAAGTCAATTTCCCAAGGTGGCTTGTCTTTTTATTGAAGGGAAACCCCTTTTATGTTTTAGTAGCCAGAACCAATGATTCATTTGCCCACAATTTGAGTAGGTGGCCAAGAGGAATGAGATGAGCATAACTTGTTTAGACCAATTATAATTCGTCCATTGGGATTGGGTCTATTTCTTTGAATATCAAAGCATCTCTGCTTATAACTGAATAAACTGGAGTTCTATCAGGAAGAAAGTGGTATATGGGGATGATGATTGTTGTCTTGGTCCATGGGGCTTCTATAACAAGTACCATAGACTGGGTGGCCCACTTCCTTCATGGATATACATATTTGCTCACTGTAACTTTACAGGGTGGAAGGGGCTCTCTGGGATCTCTTTTACAAGGACACTCATCCCATTAGTAAGGCTCTGTCCTCATGATCTGACCACCCCCCAGAGGCCCTACCTCCTAATACCATCACCTTGGGGGTTGGGGTTTCAGCATATAAATTTTTGGAGTACACATTCAGACCACATCAGTTGTTACATAGGCAAAGACCAGTGTCTGTCCAATCACGTACCCAACTGCTTGTTGATCCTCCGTGGCACACTGGGAATCATTCCTAATACTTTTCTTTCTCTCGATTTCGTATCCAACAACCACCGAGGCTTATTGATTTTTGTCTTCCAAATATCCCTCAGTTCTCATTCTGTTCTCTGCTACAGCTACCTCCAGTCTCACACAGTCACTGGAAGGATCCTGTGGACTCCCAACACTTCACGGCTTAAATTTTTCAGTAGCTGCCCACTGGCTACAGAATCAACTCCTCTGTGTAAAATCTGAAAGAGTTGTGATGTGATTCCCACCTTTCATCCATTGATCAGCAAAAACACATTACTGTAATTTGCAGTCACACTCACACACACACCCCCTTATGCCTCTATTCCCCTGCCCCGACATTTTCATTTGTCCTTTACTTTTCATTTGTCCGATCTTAAAACTTTCCCTTTCTTTTCATTTGCCCAATCTTAAAACTTCATTCAGTCTTCACAAACCACTCTTTCCCTGCTTATTCCCCAGTTCTGACTTACGCCTTCTCCTTGCTTCTATGTCTGTGCACTGCAAACTTGCCATGCTGTGACTAGCACACAATCTCAGCTATTCCGATTCCTTGTCCGTGTGTCTGTCTCCTCCACTACTGTGTGTCCAGCCAGAGGGCAAGGACCATATCTTACTCACCTTTGCAAGCCCAGTGTCTCACCCAGTGACTGGTGCAAAATAAATATTCTCCTAAATAAAAATGGAATAAAATCCTAAACCAGCTCAATGCAAGCGATTTGAAATGAGTCTTTTAAAACCCTTTTATACATAAGGCTGCCATACAAATTCATTAGTGTGTTTCATCCAGATTAGCCAATAAATGTCTCTCGTCATAGTGTGTATTGTTAGGAGATTAATTCATTGTTAAATATTTTCCAGATACACTTGGTGAGTCACCAACGAAGTACTGAAGTCAAAATGTGTTTCTGGGACGAGTGAGCAGGGTGGATGGAGGAGCCGCTCGATCTTAATGACAGCAACAGCAGCCAGCGGTCAGGCACTTTCATTGTGACAGCACTATGTATGTGTCTTTTTTATTTAATCCTCGCTATGACCTCAAGAAGTAGGTGCTCTTACTAGCCTTACTCCACAGATAAGCAAACCAAGGCCAGAGAGTATGAGTTAGAGTTTCTTACGTCCATACAGCCACTAAGGAACAGAACTAAGACTGAAACCCAGTTTTTCTTTTCTTTTATTTTTTTGAGACAGAGTCTCACTCTGCTGTCCAGGCTAGAGTGAGTGCTGTGGCGTCAGCCTAGCTCACAGCAACCTCAAACTCCTGGGCTCAAGCGATCCTGCTGCCTCAGCCTCCCGAGTAGCTGGGACTACAGGCATGCGCCACCATGCCCGGCTAATTTTTTCTACATATTTTTAGTTGGCCAATTAATTTCTTTCTATATTTTTAGTAGAGACGGGGGTCTCACTCTTGCTCAGGCTGGTTTCGAACTCCTGACCTTGAGTGATCCTCCTGCCTCCGCCTCCCAGAGTGCTAGGATTACAGGCGTGAGCCACCGAGCCTGGCCAAAGCAGGCTTTCTGATTCCAAAGCCTGCACCTTTCATCGGTTAACCGACTTTAACTTACTCAGGATCGGGAAATCCTGGAGTGAGAGAGTCTCCAACATGTGAAAAGAGAGAGGTAGAAGTAAAGAGAGAGGTTGAGATTGAGATGTTTTGCAAGCACTGAAGTTGAGCCTGGGCGGACTTGGATTTTCTCTCCACAGTGAGAAGCCTGAGTGTGCTTGAGTGGTGGGCACGAAACACGTGGAGAGTCACTCTGAGATCCCATCTGAGGATGTCTCTGCCTGGGATTTCAGGGAATGCTTCAGAGAAGTGGTATGTTTTATCTAGCTCTGTACTTCTCAAACTTGAATGCACACAGGGATTACCTGAGGTGGGGATCTTGTTAAAGTGCAGGCTGAAAACCACTGCGGCGGAGGAAGGTGCCATCACTGCTGGCCTGTTTGTCACTTTAGCAGATCTTCACATCTTTGCGCATTGACTGGCCCCACTGGCCCACCCTCTTGTTGAGCTTCGGTGGACCCTAAGCAGTTTCCAATATTCTATGCATGATGGGAGAAGGGAACATGGCTTCACAGTTTTTCTCCAAATCCCTCTCCCTGCAGGAAACAAAAATCTATTTTAAAATAAGTTAAATATCCATCTACACATTTACCACAGTTATTCTGGGAAATGAGTAAACCCTCAAAATTGGTCAGCTCATCAACCTCTAATGCTACCTTCTCACTTCACACGTGCATGACCGGAGAAAGTCTGCTGAGCTAGAGAGGGCTGACAGGTGTTCCAAGAGCCAAAAGGCAGCAGAGCACGACGTCAGGGCCATGAGGCGGGCACCGATGTTGGGCACCCCCGCTCCGGCCATGCTATGCTCCATAGCATCCTTGCCCCTGCGCCACTTGGTGTCCCGGACTGGGCTCTCCTGCCATGTGAGGCTGGGCCACCGCTCCTCTGGACTAACACCACAGCCCCACGTCCACTCCAAAGTATCCAGCCAAGGCCAATAGCCCTGCAGGTTCGTGTTGGTGGCTAGCCAATGCGACTCCCCTCCCAGGCGCTCCCTTCTCCAAATGGCGCAAAGGAAACATCGTGTCCTCGATGACTTAGTGTTGACTGGCACCATTTTTTCCCTCAGCCGAGGCTCTTCCTGCTATGGGGTTCCTGCAAAGTCCCTTCCTCCCACACTCTCCATGTCTGTTTTCTTCCTTGAAATCTTTTTCCTGCTCTGTTTTGTTATTTTCCTTTTCCTTTCCAGCCATTCTTTCTGTAATGAGACCAAAGACTGAGCCATCTGGCCACAATTTAAGGGCATGGAATTCAAACATTCAAAACTCACAGGACTTTTCGAGGGGATAAACACTGGATGAGTTGCAGGAAAGGAATGGAGGAGGGAGAGACACGTACTGAGAGCCGACTGCACGCTGGGCACAGGTGCTAGCTACTTTCACACGCTTACCTCTGAGGGGGAAACAGAGGCCCCAGGAGGCCGAGAGACTCTCCGTGGTGTGCCCTGCCGGCCTGCATCCTTTGCTGCAGTCACAGCACATTCGTACTTCGCTGGCCATTCATACCCTTTCCGTGTGTAAGTGTGTTCTTGAGGGTTTCCTGGCCTCTCGATGCCACCAGCATCACATACCTTCTCTAAGACTCAGTTTCCTATTCTGTAAAATGGGGGCACTCATAGTTTCTACCTCATAGGAATCCTATAAAAGACATTTAGCACAATATATGGTTTGCAATAATCACTTAATAGTTATTACCCGTTAGTACTATTGTTGCTGCTGCTTCTGTTGTGCTGCCATCATTATAATTGGTGTTCAAGACAAAATTCAGTAACAGTAGGCTGGCTCCATTCATTTATTCAACAAATCCTTACTGAGTGCCTAACTCTATGCCAGGCCTTATTCTACGTAGCAGCTTATTCTATAAGCTCCACACACCCATCGTGGAGCTTATATTTTATTCAAGGGGGAGAGGAAACACATAAAGAAATAGGGCAATTTCTGACAGTGAAAATCACTCCAAAGGAACTAAAACAAGAAAATAGGACAAAGCGATGGGGCCTTGAGGCAGGGAGGGCTGCTTCGGTTTGGGGGCAGGAAAAGCATTTCCCAGCAGCACATTTAAGCTGAGCACTGAGTGATGAGAAGGAGCCGGGCAAGCCGAGACCGAGGGCACGGGTGCCCTAGCAAAGCACGTGGCCCGCAAAACCTCCCGAGATGCGAATGTGCTCAGCATGCCCAGTGTGCTTTCTTATTCCAGAAACTTCTTACATGGAGTAGGACGAAGTAGTATTTACAGAGCCTACGAGTACAGACAGACTCTGGGGCCAATATTGCCTGGTTTCGTCTCCAGACTGCGACCTCGGGAAAGTTATCCAACCTCTCTGTGCCTGTTTCCTGATCTGCCGTTGGAGATGACAATAGTGAATATGAAGTTAGGTAAACACGAAAGTAGATACAACAGTTCTTGGCATATAATAAGCAGGAAAAACGACCACTATTATTATTATTATTATTATTACGAGTGTGTAATGGATATATTTAAAGCACTTGAGCAGTTCCTGGAAATAATAAGCAGTCAACAAGTGGTATCTGCTGTTATTAGAGCCTAGCACCTTATGGGTCTTCAACAAGGTGTGCACCGAATGGGGGTGCTTTGGAGTTTTCCATGGTGCCCTTCTATTTTGATCCAATGAAGAGGAAGGACTCAGCATATCATTTGACCATCCAATTTCTAAATGCATCAACATAATCTCTGTGGTCAGGATGACTTTTTTAAATTAATGCATCAGCCTTCGTGAATAGGAATGATGCTTTAAAAAAAAAAAAAGAAAAACCAAAATTACAAAATTTAGGGCATTCTTTTTGAAAGCAACCACTTTTTTCCAAGTGATTTAACTGTTTCCCCAGTGATGACTTGCAAAGGGTAGCACAGAATTTCTTTATTTCCTTCATCATTTCCTGAAGACACTCATGCCCTTTAGAGGTGAGGTGCTGAGGAGAAAGGGTCACTTCAAACTCAGCCACCATGGAGTTTGGGCTGGTTTCAACTGTTTCCCATCAATGTTTTTCTGGCTTCCATAAGTTATTACCTATGGGCCATTGGCCCTGGAGACACCATAGTTCGGGGTTTGTTCCCAAGCCAGTCAGAAAGTGCAAACACTCCCACACAGCCATCAAGAACTGGGTTTTATGGACTCAAGCCAAGAGGGATCCAGCTGGAAGCTCTGTGGTACCGATCTGTTTTAGCAGGAGAACTTGGTGGGGTTCCTCTGCTTAGAGAACCTTCTCCAGGGGTAGAGCCACCAGGTTTGGGCACCAGCATTCATTGGGCAACCTCCTATTCCAACTGCTTGGCCCTTCATAGAGAAACTGATTTTACAGTTCCTCTATTTAGGACATCAAGATAGGTTGCCATGGAAAAATGACATCTTCTAATTAAAAACACAGAGAGGTCACAAGTTTCCCAGAACAACTAGGGCACAGATCCTAAAAAAAAAAAAAAAAAAACCAAAAAAAAAAAAAAAAAAGGCAAACAAACCTCCAGAGCTGCGTCAGCCTGTAACTTTCCAAACCTGAATGAGATGCCTGTGTGGACACAGGATGCCAAGGGGACGGTATAAATGCACCACCAAGGGATGTTGCTTTCAGGGGACAAGGCAGCAGATCAGTGATGTTTGGGGAATATCAACCTAGGACAGTTATTCTGGGCTATCCCCTAAACGTAGGATTTCTGGATTTGCCTCCTGAGGATTCCGGGTGCACATGGATGAACAGGGATGAAGAACCAGAAGGCTGCTAGCTCCAAGGGAGCACAATTCGTTTTCTCTCTGCCATTTTCCCTTCTTCGTCCTGCACCTTGTACATGCATTAACACTAGCACATGCAACCTGTGCTGTGCTTAACTGCTGTCCCCCACACTGGACTGTAGACTTCTCCAGGTTGGGCACAATGTTGTCTATCTCTGTATGGCCAGTGCCTCATATATTGTTTGGTACATAGAATATGTACAATAACTCTTTGTAGAATGAATATTAACAATAATAAGAAAAGCTGCCATTTAATGAGTGCGCCAAGTATTGGGATATTGTTAATCTTCTTTTACAGTAAAGAGACTTCAGTTCCCGGAGTCTAAGCTGCTCACATAAGTCCCCACTGCTAATGAGTGACAGAGCCTGGACTGAAGTCCAGCACCGCAGGCTTGAAGCTCAGGAATAAGGGAATCCCTGTGGGGCTGATTTTCTCTCAGTCAGAGGCTGATTAACCAACATGTGGCCTGAGGGCCCTTTGCTCTGGCTCCCTGTCCCTCTCACTGACCAGTTGTTGGCACTCTCAAGCTTCCAGCCAGCCCTGGAATAGAGTAAGCAAGAGAAAAAAATCCGCAACGAGTCTGGCCACTCAGCCAAGACTCGTGTGGAAAGAGAAGCCCATGAAGGCCGCAGGTCAGGATTGGGACTCAGAGTGCCTTTCTTCCCCCTCCTTCTGCCCATCCTTGACAGTGCTACCCGTGGAAGGAGGTGGCGCTGCCACAAAGGGGAAATAGCTATGCCGACACAGCCCTGTCACTGGGGAGGTAGGCATC